CGCGACCCCCCCCCGAGACCGGGCGGCGGGCGGCTTCGAGGGTTGCACACCCAGCGGCACCGCAGAGCGCGCAGCCTGTCTGGCGGGAGTCCTCTCTCTCTCTCTCACCCCCCCTCTCCAGCCCAGCCCAAACCCTCCCCATTTCCACGTCTGCATCGTGTCACACATCCTAATCATTCATGAAAAATCCAGCCAAAGCATCCCAAGCATGATTCCCTTCTGATAGTTGCCATGGTGACCTTGGGAAAGTAGCCAACCCGGAGACAGTCGCCATGGAAACAGAGAAGCCCAAAAGCAATAATGACTTCAGGTCATGTCTGTGCAAAGACATCACGAGGTCGTCGGAGAGTAAACAAACTCATTCATATCTGCAAACAGGGGGTGGCGGGATTTGGGGGGACACAAAGGTGGGGTGCAGGGAGCAGCAGGAGCCGTGCGGGTGAAGGTGCTGGCTCAGCCCGCGCTGCTGTCACTTGAATTTTATCAGTCAAGACACCTCACCGTCACATGACTTACATAAAAATCAAGATGAAGAGCACAGGGAGAAAAAAAAATAATCCCGTAAGTGCAAAGCCGTGAGATACTATCCTAGATATTAGGGAGTGTATTTAGGCGCCTCCTCTATTTTTAAGCCCGAGACGGCACAGCACTCCATGTCTGGAGGAGGGACAAGGACAGCCGCACAGCACACAAGCCAAGATGCTCCGTGATGAATGGACCACTTACAGCAACTGGTGTGCGCTACGTTTTCTAGAGCATCACCGAGTCCTTCCCTCCTCTCCTCCAGCACCGAACCCCACCGAACCCCACCCCGGGCACACCTCCAGCAGCCCCTGCCTCACCGGGGTCACAGGAGCAGGCTGGGCATAGGGCAGGGGAACAAGTCCCAGCTCCCAGCAGCTGCCTCTGAGGGACGGGGATGCGCCTGACCTCTGGCTGCTGCCACACTGTGTGTTTTGCACGAGGGCCGACTGCAGGCAGGCAGGCGGGCAGGATCTCCTGCGAGCACAGGCGCCTCTTCAGACCCCAGCACTGCCCTTTCGCCGTCCATCGCTTCCCCTCCGCGCCGGGCGTTCGCCGCCCACCCCTACCTCCAGGCCGGAGGCGCAGACGTAGGCGCTAGCACGGAGGAGGAAGGAAAAAGCTCCACGTCTCAGCCAAACGGTCCCAGCAAGTTCAGGAGAGCAGAAGCGCTGCCAGTGCGTAAAGGAAACGGCCGGCAGCCCCCTCCCTGCAGACGCACAGCGCCGCGGGCCGCGCAGGCAGTTGGTGCCATAGTTATGCAGTGAGTCACCAGCTGTTTACAGAGTTTGAGAGCTCACATTCCCACAGCATCAGAAACTCTTCCTTCCCTCGGCATCCCCCCACCCCCCCCCCTCGCCGCCCCCATCCCTACAAGGAAAGGGGCACCCTGCCGTCCCACTGGCGGCCCTCCGCGCCT